AAGATGGAGACTACAAATAACATTTATTTGTAGATTTTGAAAGCAAAAAGAGAGTAAAAAAATCGTCATATTTATCACCTTTTCAAAGTTAGTTTGGGTTAGGTTAGGTTATTGTGGCAGACCCCACAATTGGACTCACTTTGACATTAATCAGATTGCCATTATTTTACCACATTACACAAGTTCTTTGAGCTTTAACTAGAAGTTCTCTGTGTTAAATTTAGAAATGCGCCATTTTCTCAAAACACAGTTCCGCGGGCATCGGTGCACCGAGGTGCTTAGGTCGTAGTCTTCAAAACAGCTGCGACGGTAGGGATCCGTGACGATACTAAGTCGCTCCGCGTGGATTCCTAACGGCCAATGACCAGTCAGTGCACCTGTAGGAATCGAGACCTAGCGCTTAGACAGCGGCAGAAACTCCATTGACTGCCAAGAACTGGCCAGAAGGACCTTGCAACTTTGCATTTAGGGGTTTTCGTCCCCGACTCTGAGAAAAATAGCTAAGAGCAGGCCGCAGGTTATCTAAAGTGATGGCCTCGAAGGTGCCCTGCCTAGCCAATTCATCAGCCCTACAATTTCCTTACTAGTTATGTCACTGTGTTCTAGAATCCAAATCAGCTTGAATTGAAAGTAATCTGAGGCGGTTCAGAGAAAGAGAGGTGAGGCATTCTCCGGCCAGTTTCGATCTTAGCATTAGCGAGCCCAGCGTTCTGATTGCCGCTTGGATATCAGCGTAGTCTTCTAGTCTGCAAAACATTGGTGCGTAGCCAAACGGCTTCCTCTTTTACGACGGCCACCTCTGCCTGAAAGACGCTGCCGAGATCCGGAAGTCTGAATATAAAATCCATTGAACGTTCCTGACAGTAGACACCTTCTGCAACTCTCCCGTCCAGCTTTGATTCGACCTATGTTCCAGAGACTGTCATTCTCCCATTTGACCCTTAAAGGGACGTGCGCGGGGAAGGATCCATTTGGGGCCAGCCTGGAAACACTCCGATTCATTTCTTCCGGTTGGAAGTCGGAGCTTTTGAGAATTATCGAGTGCCCGTATGCTGGATTGAAAGACAGCCCAAAGCTTGTCAGACTAATGGCTGAGCGAACCGCCATTTTAAATTTGGAATCAATGAAGTGTTTATAGAATTAGAATTTTGCCCACGAAAGCTAATCTCCTAGCCCAGTGTGCATTGTTTGCAGCTCGTCTCCAATGACCAGAAGTACACCCATGAATCAATTCTTGGACCACTGATGTTCGTATTGTATGTTAATGACCTTCACTGCAGGGCAAATCCCGAAAGCTTGCAAATCAAAACCAAATAAAATAGCGGGGCTTAATTTCAATTAATTAAAAAAATTTTAAAAATCTAAGTTTGATATAAAATTAAGCCGCAGTTTTCTTATTTTATCAGCAACAGTTTTTAAAGTGTTTATTGTTTTTGTAATGTTGAAACTCAATTCCAATCAATTACAAAAAAATACATTGATAACCATCCAATCATGAAACTGTAACAAATTCAAGTGCTGTTCAGGGAATTTTAAAATATTTTTTTCTGCAACAAATTAATTAAAACGAACTTTTGCAATTTCACCATAAGTGGTCGTAGTATAGGAAACGAGTGAAATCTAAAACTTCCATTTCGACACTTTAAGTGTGCGTAAAAATTAGATAAGAGCCGTTTACTTTTACCCCAAAACGCAAAAGCAGCTTCGAAACTTTATGCCTGAAATGAGAGAGCGGAAAAAGCAAAGAAAAAAGCGATAAGAAAATTCTAAAAGAAACATTATAAAAATACTTTTGCTTATCAAAGATGGCAGGCATCAAATTGGTAGAGTATTTGCAAACTACCGCACACAAATGAACACACACACATACGTTTTCAAATGCCCCGCAAAGTTATGCATGCGATAAGCGAATGAGCAGACGAATTTTGATGCTTTACATACCAACACAGAGAGACTTATATATATACATACTATATGTACATATACATACTCGTAAGTACATAAGTTCATACCTAAAAGGCAACCATTGCAGAGGGATAAGTGAAAGGCAACCTTAAGCGCCAACTGCATGCAAATTGTTTGAAAACTGCTTGCCACTCACTAGCAACAACAAATTGGTGGCTGCAGGATGAATACATATACATACGTACATATATATATGTA